CGTAGCCTCTGTCACGTAGCCTCTGTGACGTAGACTCTGTGATGTAGTCTCTGTGCTATAGACCGCTATGAACTGTAATGGAGTTCTAGGCTGTGCTATAGACTGGTTTAGAGCTCTCGACTGTGCTGTGGCCTCTCCCACACCGACTGGTCTGGAGCTGCTGTCCCTCGCAGTAGCCTCAGTCTCACGTGGGACAGAAACCTCAATCCGCTCCCGGTCCTGGGGGTCTGGTGGCGTGGCTGGGAGCGGCACAGCCACGGCACAGCCACGGCACAGCCACGGCACAGCCACGGCACAGCCACGGCACAGCCACGGCACAGCCACGGCACAGCCACGGCACAGCCACGGCACAGCCACGGCACAGCCACGGCACAGCCACGGCACAGCCACGGCACAGCCACGGCACAGCCACGGCCGCCGGCTTGCCGAGTGCCATGCTTCGAAACGGGCGGCAAGGAGAGGTGGCTCGGAGGGTTGACAATGGCCGTGTGGTAGACACTGCCCACACTGCTCACGTCTGGGGCCAGGATGTGTCTCCTCAAGGGTCTAATATGTGGATGCCACGGTGGCGAGATGTGAGCTATCTCACCTGCTTTACAGGAGATTCTCGCTTTATTTCTTGAGTTTCAGCCACACCTTTTATCAACGGGTTCTCAAGTTTAGCGAGCTGGTGGGCTTTGCCCGATCACCAAGCTCGCACTGCTGAGATTCTGGTTTTGAGCACCGGTTCTATGTCTCTCTGTTTCTTTCACTCGTGATGGCCGTGTCAGAGACGCTGAGCCACCATGGTTGAGAAGTGAGATCCTGGGTCTGGGTTTCGCTGATATTGGCCGTGCCAGATGGGACTCAAGCTGGGCAGTAACAACTCACGATGACGTGAGCGGTTCCCGCATTCCGTCAGGCACTGTTGCGATTGTTGACGGTTGCCCTCTGCGCGTGCGTGCAGGTTCTCGTCGCTGCCATGGCATTCCGCGACGCGTGGAAGCGGTACCGCGTGCTCATCGTGATGGGCGCTGGCCTCGTGTCAGTCCACTTCGGCTGGTACCGTCTGCAGGACAACCCCGCGTTCCGGGGGTACGGCGTCAAGGACGGCCCGCAGCCACGCGGCCTCACAGAGCACCCGAGCGGTGTGGGCGGCCTGCCCTCGGCGAAGCCGTCCACCTAGCGGAGGCGGCAGAGCGACGTCCACCCGACGTCCACCCGCGTCGGTACGGCAACCGACACCGCCCACGGTGCGCCCCAGCTCGGAAGCTGAGCAGGGGTGCCACGGTTCTGAGATGTTAACTACCTCGCCTGGTATACAGGAGAAGGTCGTGGGTTCGATCCTGACGCTTGCTGTATATTTGGAGTTTGTGTGTTCTCCCTGTGGTCGTGTGGATTTTCTCCGGGTCCTCTGGTTTTTCCCTCCATATAGACTCAACATCATGCGTTTCGAGTGTTTGGCAGCTAGAAATTTACACGTGACGATAATCCACTACTTTGTTGAGCTAGAATGAGTGATAGCTCAGTTGGCCTTACCCATTAAAATAAAACAGAAATTAGTTTAGGTTTTGACCCTGGTTAGTGCTTGTAGGCCTAAGACCGAACCGCTCGGGATGCACTGCCCGGTCCCATCGCCTCTCAGACGCCAAGGTGGAGTTGAGACCGGGTGGTGCGTGGATGGGTCACCACTGTGCGTCAGCAGGTGTTATAGGCTACGGGGCTGAGGGGTTGTGGGCAGCAGAGGGCAGTGCACCTGCTTAATTTTCTGTGATCCCCCATCTTCAACACGCAATGACCGGCATGGTGAAGTATGGTCAAATAACCCCCACGACCCATAAGTAGATTGACAAACAGTCTCTTAAGCGTCCGTGGTGGTTTTCAGATGTTTCATCAGCCAAGCAGTCCCCTTGCCTTGCCTAGTCCGAGTGCCATGCTGCCTGGGCCAGGGTGCACCGGGAGGAGGGGAGGGCATGGGTCGGGCCTCCTGGGTCTGTGCCTTATCGGATGAGGCGCAGGCCACGTTCAAATCTAATGGTTCTCTTTTAACGTACGCATGCACGTAACCAGGGGATTAAATCCTTCAAGACACATGAAGCAGCATTGCTTTCCTTTGCAAGGGCGACTTGGGGTCTTTCTCGAGTGCAACTGTGTGGGAAAACAAAAGCGACAACGTTCCGTTGTTTTTAACACGGGGCGTTAAATGGCATTTGCAGAATAAGAACGCAATAGAGTTAAGACGCGGGAAATGTTCGCCGCGTAACGTTATCTCTGGGCAAGCAACAGCCAGCGGAGCGGAGCGTGCGTGTGGCTGCAGAGGAACAGCATGGTGGTGGGGGGCGAGCGGGAACCCTCTCCAGTATCCCGTAGAGGTCTCGACTGTGCTGTGGCCTCTCCCACACCAACTGGTCTGGAGCTGCTGTCCCTCGTAGCAGCCTCAGTATTCCTCACGTGGGACAGAAACCTCAAGCCGCTCCCGGTGCAGTGGCGATGCCGGCCCTGGGGGTCTGGTGGCGTGGCCGGGAGCGGCACATCCGCGGCGGTGCTGCCCAGCTGGCACAGCCACCCGGCTCCGAGACGGGCGGTAGGAAGAGGTCGCGGCAGGTGGCTCCGAGGGTGTCACAGTGGCTGTGTGGTAGAAACTGTGTCGGCACTACTGACATCCTCATTATTAAGCCTGGGGTCATGATTTGACCCCAGGCCTAATATATCTCGGAGGGTTCATGATGGCCAGGGGTCGGCAACTTGCGGCGGCTCGTTGGCTTAGTCCCCTTGCGGGCAGCCGTTTTATTTACTTAAATCTTACACGTAATTTACCGCGAAGGTGATTGATGAAATATGGCAGGAAATGGGTCGCTATGCAATGTCTTCGTGACGTCAAACTGTGTTCTTGTTAAAGAATAACGAAGGGGGGGGGGCACAACTAAATAGACGCGGTTTATTCCATCGTCTGTTTAAGTCAGAATGTGTGTTGTCGTCACCTGCTGTGTACCCGCTGCTGTGTTTGTGTACAAGTCGCTCTCTCTATGCGCGGTGCTGCGGCTCTCCAACTATTTTGGTCAAAGACAAAAAACAAGAAAATGCCTCCTTTGAAAGGCTGCCGGACCCCTCCTCGTGACAATCGAGCTGGCTCCGCTGAGATCCGAGGTTCGAATCTGGGTCTCAGCCGCCCGTGATTAAACGCCGGGGGCTCTCTTGCGTGCAGCGCCCAGGGATGATCTCAGTCAGCGATGGCTTTGGGTGGCATGAACCGGTGGGCTGGGGTGGCTCCGGGTGTTCCTTGCGGCCGTAGCCACTCGTGTAACCAATGCTGGACATTTACTTTTGTTTGTTATTTCGCTATTTATTGTTTGCGCTCTACTACCGTCTTGTCCTGTGTGCCTGTACACTTCTGGCCCCGGTGTTAACTTGCGTTCCCCGTTGCACAGAGGGGCTTTGAAGCGCGCCCGAGGGTCGTGGTGGCGGTGGTGAGGAAAAACGTGGAGCGGAGCGACCCGAGGGGGAACTGGAGCGGGGAGCTGTCGGCAAAACCTGGACTGCTGTAGCGCAGGAGGGAAGGCTCGGAGCGGCGTTCATCTTGCGGCGGACCAGGCGGTGGAGAGGATGTGGAGACGTGACGCTCCCACACAAGTGGGGACGCCTCTCCGGGTTAAGACTTTTGTTGTTTCAACCGGAAACAATCTGCGCTGCAACACTGCGTACTCGTGGGCTCTCCGTGGCTGGCTTTTTCATGACTTTGGGGTGACATTCTTGTAAAGGCTTCCTAAACGTTGTTTTGATGCCATCTAAAGTAATCCAGCCGTGTTGACTTGTTGGCCTATAACAAGGCTGCGCGCACTACAGCGGCGGTATGGTGATGTTACGTGGCGTGCAAGGTATGATGGGAAGACTAATTCTATTTATTGGTCGCACTCGCACCTTTTGCCATCTACAAATCGCCTTTTGCGTGTACTATTATCACTTTTCCGACGTTGGATTATAAAGATGTGGTTTATATTGGGTTGCAGCCGCCCTTTTAAAGCATCCAGAAACAAATATTCGTGGGTGTTGGTCATTTTTTTTTATATTTGCTCTATGATATTTTGAGGGATTGGCACAGAAACTGAAAAATATAGGTTGGTGAATTTCCAAATCTGCGGTCGTGTTTGGATTCCAGTCCCCTTTCCAACCTCTCGACATTGTTGTTGGCCGAGGTTCAAAGAAAGTTCACCGTTTCTAACCCCCACTTTCTTGGCCCATGGTGAAACATGTTGACTTTCAGACTGTTGTTCCAGATATAACCAATAAACTTGACTTCAGTCAACTCCTGATTATCCGTGGTGATTGGTGGGGGGCATGGTTAAAATAAAAAAAACAGATAATGGAAACCATGTCAATGAGGCTGTACAATAAACTCGTCGTGCCCAGAAGCCAGCAGTTGGAATTGCAACAAAGATTTAGTTTCTACTCAATCCGTATCCATACGAAAAAAGTATAAGCCAACATGTAGCAGCTGGCTCCCTTCGTTATGAACTATTTAATTAACTTTTATTTTACCGGGTAAAACCCACCACTATATAGCTCTTTTTCAGAAGCGACCTGGTCACATCGGAGCTCAACAAAGTGGCTCATGTGGAAATTTATAGCAGCCAAATAATCGAAATGCACGTTTCTAAATGTAGAGTGAAAAACCGGAGGTCGCGGAGAAGAATCCACGCAACCACGGGTCAAACATGCAAACTCCAAATATACATGCGTCGGGGTCGGCATCGAACCCTCTCGACCTCCTGTATACCAGGCAAGGTGGTTAATATCTTGCCACTCTGGTGCTGGGATAACGCGGATTCCAGCCGAGTGGGAAGACAGGCACCAGCGTGGTCGGTTCCGTTATTGTGATGACGTTTGTTCACTCATGAGGGCCTCACCGAGTCTCAACATTCAGGGATGTCAACTCTCGGATTACCTCGGGAAATGGGGAGGGGGGTGCAGAGGTAGGCACTAAATCATCAACCCTTGAGTGAAGAGCAGATCATACGATTGGCGTGGGTGTACAGTATTTATTGGCAAGCATGAATAGAGTTCAATGCAGAATGTAACGATACACCATGCGGACACGTTATAAAACCACAAGGTGAAACGATCCATGAAAAAACAATCATTCTGGAAGGGGCGTCGTGAAAAGATGACAATTCGGATTTGTCTTGAGAATCCCTAACACACTCGTGGAGTGCACAAGCAACGAGTTCCAGTCTTAAGAGTTCATGAAAAAGCTCCCCACACGTGGAGTGAAACTTCACTTCCTGAAGAAGCTCCCGGCACGTGCAGCGAAACGTCGGACTTCAATCCGAAGGTCAGGCGGCACAGCCTGCAAACGCTTCGGGCAGTGCTGCAAAAACAACCTACGCAGTCGCCTTTGCAATAGCAACTAACATTTGTGGGGCGCATTAAATCCGTAGATCCCAAGCGAGTCACAGATCCGAGTGGGATTGGCCGTGGCGGGGACGGAGCAAGGCCCTCACAGAATGTCCCGGTGCCCCGTCTCCGTCAGCATGGCCTCCAGCGCGAGCTTTGCGGCGTCGGTGACGTACGGCTGGTGCAGCCACGCCGACAGGTAGACCATGGAGAGGCTGGGCGACGGGGCATGCGCCATCTCCGCCACCAGCACGCGCCTCAGCCGCAGCTCCTCGCTGTACTGCGCCTGCAGCTGGGCCGACACCTCGTCTGTGTCCACAGCAGAGGTCGCAAACGGGTTTTGATTCCTTACCCGTACCCGGTCGCAAACGGGTACCCGTATCCTACCCGGCTACCGGCCGGGTATCGGGTAGGGTACGGGTACCCGATTGCGACCTCTGGGATGAAGCCATGTTGCAGGCGCGGGTGGGTTGATTCTAGGAACTTGAATTGTGAGAAGAGACAAGACGTTGGAAAATGAGTGACAAACGGTGACTCACCAGTGACTCACGGCCTACTCGTACCCAGCCGCACCAGGGTCGCAAACGGGTACCCGTACCCGGCTGGGTACGGGTAGCCGGGTATCGGGTAGGGTACGGGTATCGGGTACCCGATTGCGACCTCTGGTCCACAGCGCGGAGTGCGCCAGACAGAGGGGGGGGGGGGGGGGGGGGGGGGCGGGTAAACAAACGCGTAAGTGGTCACGACTTTGAGGTCGCGATTCGATGCTCGAGTCCACCCTTGTTTTGTTAACCCTGTCCTGCTCGTCTTGTGCCTATGACAAAATTGGCCGGAGTGCACCCAATCTCATCACACATTGGAAGCCAAGCAAGGACTGAGCCTGGATAGTGCTTGGATGGGCGCGGGAGAGGGGGGTAAGGGGGAGGAAGAACGGGAGAAGAGGACTGGGGGGGGAGAGGGAGGGGGACTCGGGGGGGAGGGGGATTATGGTGGAGAGCTGAGGGTAATGCCACAAAATCCATAATTGTACTGTACTACCTATGCTTACGGGTAAGTTGTGCTTACGGGGAGATTGTGCTTACAGAAGGCTGTTGCTCCGACAGAATCAGAATCTTCATTTAACTACAGGAGGAATCCTATGAGCTGTGAAGCTCTTTTTCACAGGCCTCAAGTATGGCCGGGTCAGCGAGTTACAACAGCAGAGACAATAGTGAGCAAGTCACTAGATATTAATCAACAGATAATAATGACGTTGGAGGTTGTGTGCTGCAGAAGGCTGTTGTACTCACGGAAGGTTGTTGTCGGCCAGGAACGGAAGAGCGGAGTTGGCCTCCACGCTTGCTTGTTCTGGTACCACTCCAGGTCGCACACGGCCTGCAGCGTCGACGTCAGCTTCTCCATCGTTTGCAGCAGTCCCCTCTGCAACAGCGGGAGCGACGCGCGGCTTTGTGCGTTTAGTTTGTTGTCCTTACCCCCCCGCCCAGCACCGCCGGCGAGCACGGTTGGCCACATACGGTGCGTAAGAAGTTGAAGACACATCGCCCGGTGAATGTTTATTCAGTTATTTATTCGTGAGAGCCACGCTGAGCCCTCGGACTCCTTTTCAGGAGGGTCCTGCCGCTTACATTGGGAGTTTTATTTTAAGATGTCTTCAGCCATTTAGTGTTTATCATGCAAGTGGGAGGAAGCCGGAGTTGAATAATTTTACACATTCCATCCAGGGTAACCATGTCTGTACGAACCGGCGGGGGGGGAGGCACGGTGGGCCACGGTGGCTAGGAGATGTTAACTACCTCGCCTGGTATGCTGGAGTTCGTGGGTTCGATCCCGACCCTGACGCCTGCTGCTGTATATGTGGAGTTGGCGTTTCTCTCCCCACGTGGTCACGTGGATTATTCTCCGGGTCTTCCGGTTTTTCCCTCCGCATTCAAAATCAACATCACGCATTCAGAGTATTTGGCTGCTTTCCATTTCCACACGATAAGCCACTTCATTGAGCTATCATTTGTGGCCAGGTCGCTTCTAAAAAAGAGCTATACACCTTAATGGGCTTCACCCGCAAATTTATTTTAAAAATATTTTATAGTTTATAAGTTGTATAGATCTCTCTGCCAACCTATAGCGCAGTCGAGAACTGTATGTCAGTATGTGGGACTTGTGTGGACACCCGGCAAGGCACACACATAGCGTGACATCACATCGTGTTGCCGAATGGCCCTGGGTGTGTCATTGTGCAGTCATTAAGAACCAGTTTTATTCGCGAGTTTGTGAAACCTGCATTCAAACGCAGCAGTTCGGAGATGCTGCGCAGTGCCCTGGCTTGGTATGGACCGCTTGACCAGAGTCAACCACTCAATCCCAGGGTTTTAATCCAGGATCTCGGTGAACTGCTGCTGCCGCTGACGACAACGACGATGCACACTCACCAACTTCTCCCACACCTCCACGAGTTGGTTGCAGTCTCTCTCCAGTTCCTGGTATCGTGCTGATTCCGCGGCCGATGCTTCCGCAGTCGGCGCAGAATTGCCCTCCTTCCTGCCCAGGGAGGGATTCGTTCCACGCGTGTCAATCGCTACGGGTGGCATCTCGTCGCCATAGTTGGCGCTCGATTATCCGCTTGCGCGCTGTCCGCGGGCGTGCAAATTAACCGTACTTTCGGGAAGACTGGCACTATTTGGACACGTGCAGGATGGACAACAAGAAAATTAAAATCATGTTGTTCAGGAAAAATGGAAGGAACCGGAAAGAGAGGAAGACCTCACAGAGAATGACTTGACAAGATCGGTGTTAGACAGTTGTGGCCACTACTTGGGCACGTTGGGGCGCAAGAGACGAGAGGAAAGTGGCAACAAACGACGCAGTGGGCACCCACGGGGCTGTCTGCAATACGTAATGTGACGATGAGCGGGAAAAAATAAATATAATATTTAAAAAAATAGGATTTCTCACCTTTTTATTTATATCGTGTATTATTTGCTTTTCTCTGTTATGTCTGTCACGTGTGTTTTTAATTGACGAAACCCGACTTATGAGCTTCTGAGCACTCACACGTTACTTCAAAATAAACTGAACTGAAACTGATATAATCGTTTAGGTTCTGCCCAGAAAGGGTAAAAACCTATCCTTATTTTTTCACACTTCGATACTGGCAAAATAAGTAACATTTAAAAAAACTTTTTTTTAAACTCGCTTTAATGAAATGTACCGTACTAGTAATGGAAGAACTTCACGACTCCAGGAAGTGGCCCCGAAGCTTGCCACAACGTCAGTTGACCGTGGACAATTAGAGCCAAGCCGAAACATAACGTATAAAAAATAATGTTTAAAAATGTGTTTTTTTTAATGATAGAATAAGGTATTGTCATCAGTATGACATAAGTATACCAAGTTTGCAGTCGATACCACATTGGGAAGTGGGTAAAAATTCAGTGACAATATTTGAGGATACAACAACAACAACAGACAGAGTGAGTTAAATAAAAGCGTGTAAAAAGGTCCCATTTTATATATAAATATGACAAAAACATTCCCCCCACACGCGCACCCGGCACGAACCAATCGGCAAGTGGCGAGCGGCGTCCCGGGACTCACGGCGACGCGAGGCGGGAGTTGGCCACCCTGGAGGCGAGGGCCAAGCCCGACTCGACGACCAGGCGGTCCCACTTGGCGACGGCGTTGTGCCAGTCGGCGGCCACGTCCCGCACCTTCCTGCCGCTGGGGCTCGCGGCCGGGGACGACGACGAGGGGGAGGCCATTGCCGGACCCTCCCCTTCGCGCTGCGGTCAAATAGGGGGGGGGTCAAGGGGTCAGGGTAGGGTCATGCGGTAGCTCCTCGCTTAACGCGTTTTTCGCTTAACGCGTTTTTCGCTTAACGCGTTTTTCGCTTAACACGCATCTATGGCCGCGTTGTGCGAGGAATTACCGTGCGCTCTTTGGTTCTTCTCCATTCCCACGCAATAAGCAACTGGTGACCATCATTACACTTTGACGTTCCCACCGCTAAAATCGCGCTATTTAACAGTTTAACACAAATAATATAAATTTCGATTTAAAGCTTTCGTGACTGCAGGGATTCATCTTCTTGGTTCTTTCGGTAAAGTCACGTAGAAGGGAAATAATACAATAATATAATTTCTGCTCGTCACGTTTCCCTGAAGGGCGCCAACGGTTGCCCAAGATCTGCGGTCCTCTCCGTACGCGTGAATGATCGCCATCGAGTGGGATGCTGCGATTCGGCTCGCCGCAGTCAGTACCTGTGCACGAAAGGAAGATGCTTGGCGACTGAAGCTGGGGAGGTTTTTCTTCGCGGCCCTTCCCGTTCGAAACGAGCGCGCGGAGTCCTCGCGGGCAATCAGCGACAACGCCGAGGCGACCTGGAGGGGAAGAGAGAGAAAAAAACCCTCTAATCTGGCATAGCGGAGTGAGAGATGTAACGATTCCGATTCTAGATTGTGTTATTAAACTAATCGATTCTTCGTCTCACCGGTTTGTTTATCAGCCGTAGCGACACGCACCGTTGCCTCTTGGTAAACTATTTACTCACCGACTAACAATCGATTATCTCACCGACTAACAATCGATTATCTCGGCGACTAATAATCGATTATCTTAACCCACGATTGCTGTACGAGAATCGATTGCAGTGCGGGAAACGCGTGCTCAGCAGCAGGGGCTTCTGTTTGCTGCTTGGCGGAAACACGTGAGCGATGGTGACGTCACGCGCGCAGCGACTTCTGCCGCTGTCAGACAGAAGCTGTTGATGACGTCACGCGCGTAAGTTTTTATAATACAAACTATCGATGACGTCATAAACTAAGTAACTTCGCAGCTCCAGAAGTGACGGATGACGTCACCCGCGCTGTGAACAGCCGCACGCACAGAAGCGATCGATGTGACGCAATCAACTTGCCTGCCGCTCTGAGGCGACTTTTCTGATCAAGTTGCTGCTATGAAATGTCCAAATGATGTTGGGCCACTTCGTTGGGCTATCAATTTGTGGTGGGCAGGTCGCTTCTGAAAAATAAGTTAACGCCTCAAGTGGGCTTTGCCTGGTATGGGGGCCGTCAATTAATGACGTCATGTAATTTTGGACGTTGTTTGACCCCCCCCCCCCCATGTCACGCGGCGTCACAAAGTCAGACCCCCCCCCCTGAAATATGACGTCACAAAGCTCTGCCCCCCCCAAAAAAAAATGCTTCGAATCGCTTTAAACTATTGTCATTGTAGTGCATATTTAATGTGGCGCTGCACTCTGTTGGAGAAAACATTTATTAAAAAGTATATTTAATTAAGCTGAACGTGTTGTCTATATTTATTTTGTTGCTATTTTTTATTTCCACCAAGAAACGAGTAAAGTTGCGCATTTTGATGTGACGTCATATTTCTCAACCCCCGTCCCTCGTCACACATCGTCACAAATGTCTGACCCCACACCCCCCTAGGTGCGTGACGTCATTTATAGACGGCCCTTAAAAACATTTCGCTCGATGACGTCACGCACACCGCTGTGCACAATCGCTCGATGACGTCACGCAGCCACTCGCTGTTCCTGCCGCCCTTCGAACGAGGAGACAAAGCGACCTCGATGGCGCTCGCCGCCTTGCGACGTTAGAGCGGCGACTGCCGTCTTCCCGCCTCCGCCACGAAGACAGAAGCGAGTCGCCCCGGGCCCTTGAATGAGGATCGAGCGCGCGCCCCCCGCTAGTCCGCCATGGCCGCCGCCTCCTCCTCCTCCGCGCCGCCACCGCCGCCGCTGCTGCTGTTGAAGAGCGCCCTGAGGGGAGATGCCGCGGCGCGCGCGATGCTCGCGCTGTGGCTCGCGACGCCGCCACCATCGCCACCACTCCCCCACCGCGGACATCCCGACGACGACGACGCCTCAGGGCAGGTGCGCGCGGACGTTGGCGTGCGGATTGCGCGCGTGGCGGGCGCGTGGCGCGCGCCTTCAGTTTCCCGCCCAAAAACGCGCGCGACAAACCACTCCCTCCCCTCTCTCGTTGCTCCGCCCACTGACCCCCCTCCCCTCCCCTCACTTGACCCCCCTCCCCTTCCTCCGTTGACCCCCCCACCCCACCCCCGCTGACTTCCCCTCCCCCCTGCTGACCCCTGAACCCCGAGAGTCTTCTTAATCGTGCACATTTCATGCAGACACTTTACAACGATCATTGACATCGACACTACATACGGGCACTTTAGACGCACATCAGCCGTTCTGAACTCTTTAAGGGGGGCGGTGGGTGCAGGCTTCGGCATGGGTGCCGTGCAGGATAAATTATTGATGAGGGGTCAAGTAGCCTCCTGTAGGGCCACTGGGACATACAGACCTACAACGTCGCAACGAGACCCACAGGCAGAGTGTGTATGAGGTCTATGAAGAGACCTCAAAGTTCTGTTATCTTGACACAAGCTTGGTAGCGCACTGTTTCCTGAGAGAGGTACACGCGTAAATGTTTTCATCTCACCACCGCGATATTGTGCTCCGCGGTAATTTTTTGTATATTCATAGATGACTCGGCTGAGACGACACATTCTATGGGACGTATACACTTTTAACCATCCTATCGATTTTCCAAATACATCTTTACTTAATTGCAGTTTTAAAAAAATGTAATGAATCGCACTACGTACTATCAGCATCGCTGTGCCGGCTGCGGTCGGTGTTCGGTGGGGCAGGAATGCGGTCACGGTTCCTCGTTCGCGCTGCCTGCGTTGGAGGCCCTCGGAGAAGCCGCCTGGCGAGAATTCATCCCCTTCCTGCTGAACTTCCTGCGGGAGCAAGCGAGCGGCGCCGTCGGCTGGAGCCAACCTTCGCCTCGCAAGACGCCGAGCGCGCCGGCGCACTGGCCCGGCCAGCGCACCCCGTCGGACAGCGGCTCTCTCGGGCCGCGGGGCTCGCGGGAGGCGGCGCAGAGTCGCGCGCCGTGCCGAGCCGCGCCGGCGTCGACCGTGGGATCCCACGCCCCGCCGTCAAGCCTGGAGCACCCGCAGCGGGGAGCCCGCCAGTCGCTCAACGGCGCGTTCGAACTGCTCGCGGAAAACTCCCCCTTCGGCGGCGGCCGCCCGGCGACGCCCGCCCGCGGCTTCGAGGATGACGTCGCGCGCTGGCCGGGAAGCCCACCGCTGGAAAGGGGGGGCCGCAGCGGAGACGTCGCGGCGTCGGGGACCAGGGCAGACGGCCCGCCGCTCAGCGCCGGTCCCGCCGACTCGGCGGGCGAGCGTGCGCCGCGCTCCGCGCAAAAGGCCTCCCTCTCCGACTTTATAGTCCACGGGTCAGACAGACACGCCGCACGCAGGGTCAAGCAGAGCAGCCCCGCCTGCGGGAAAGCCAGAGAGAATGGGTCGGCGGCAGGGGCGCTGGGAAGATGCTTTCAGTCGTCCCCGTGCCAAAGAGCGGACGCCTCTCTGTCGGGAGACGGAGAGAGAGGTCCGAGAATGAGTAGGCACTCGGACCAGGCGCAGCAGCAGCAGCATCCTCCGCATGGCCGGAAAAATAGTAAACATAGACAGGGTGGCACGAGCTTGGAGCCCTCATCACGGAGGGCGGTGGGTGGCGGGCAGTCCTCCGGTGGTGGAGAGGTGGATTGTGCATCTGCTGTGAGGAGCCCAGACGCTAGCGGTTGCGTCGCCGATGGAGACGTGATGGTGCCTCCCAACCTGTGCAGCCTGGAGGAGTTCCCGTCCATGGGCGGCGCCGCAAGCTCTGGCAAGTACGTCGGTAGTCGTAGGTCTGTCGCAAGCTGGCTGGATGGCCCAGGCGTCGGAGGGCTGAGCTGGCACTGTTAAAATCCAGGGTTCGATTCTCGGTTTTGGCTGTCCGCGATTAACCGATGTATTCAAAGACACCTCGAGCCTGTCACCCTTTCCTGCGTCGCAAAAGAAACATTGCAATGAAAACAAATTTCACTTAATTCCAACAATTACAAAATCACCTTGCCATGTGATGGACATTCTGTCTCTAGCAGAGACTGTTGTAAATTGTACCCCTAATGCGTGGATGGAAGGATGTTAAAGTGATAAGTTCTGCGATGTCTCCTTCCGCATGCAGTTGTCACAGTGTTGCACTGACATGCTGCCGATAGCACAATAATTGGAATTGTGTGTGAAGTTTTAAGGGAAATACACCGTGTAAAGCCAAGTAAATTGGCAATTAAAACACACTGATGATGAAGAATTATTTTTGGGTAAGACAATGATTTCACACTCATTCAGGCGCCTCCCCTTCCCCCTGATAATGTCATTATGCGTGACATCTCTCGATGTCACACCTCATATGGTATCATCTCATTGCACAGATAATTATTATCGCCAATTAAATACTCCCCAGGACGAACGGCACGTTGGAAAGCATGACCAGAATCCCTGCGTACACATGCTTTTTAATTCCTGGTAAATTTTACCGATCGTTTGTCGTCATCGTTGTTGCGTCCGTGGTGAGCAGCTCGCGGCCCTCGCGCCGTATAAAGCCGACGCCAGTGAGCGTGGCGCACCACCGCTTGCAGCCCAACGAGTGCTTCACCTCCACGCCGCTCAGCCAGCCGCCGCCGCCCAGATGGGGTGCGGTACCGGCCACGCCGCGCGACCGCCACACGATGCCGTGGTGCAGCCCGACCTCGCAGAGCCAGCTGGCGGGCCGGCACGCCCAGCCTGGCAGTAGCGCCCAAAGCCACCACCCGCACAGCGCGATGCCGAGACAGAATCGGTGAGCGAAACAATGTTATCTCTGGGGCTTTTTAATTTTTCACGCTTTCCAATGAAGGTTGAATGCACTTATGCATGAACTCCTGATGATTTTTTTTTATATATAATGGATTGTTGATGACTTATGAAGGTGGTGAGCGGGGAGAGAGAGGAACAGGGAGAGAGATGGGGGGAGGGATGAGCTACAGTGGAGGGAGAGGTACAAGAGGGGACAGAGGAAGAGAGAAACCGACAAAGCGAGATGAACTGGGATATAAAGCACAATTATAAGATAAATGTTTTGCTGATTGCCTGGGAGGGACATAGGAATGAACATTCAGGTCCAAAAGACATGCAGTTTGCTCGTTTTATAAAATAAAAATTTTGAATGCAATAAACATTTTTTAAGTGCTCAACAATTCATGTACAGTGATACCTCGGTTCACGAACTTAATTCGTGAACTGACTCTGGTTGCGAACCGAATTGGTCGTGAACCGAGGCACATTTTCCCATAGGGTTCAATGTAAATCCGGTTAATCCGTTCTGACCTTTTTTTTGGTTTTTTAAGCACAAAAATATGAAACAAATTACAATACACATTAGTACTGTACAGTATAGTAATGTATAAAGAGAGAACACTAACCTTGCTTGAGATGACTTCAGTAAGCACTCAAACGGGTGAACTGTACAATACAGTAAGTACAGTATTGTACAGTACAGTAGTACAGTACAGTACTGTATGTGCTAAAAAGCACACCAAAAAGCAAAAAGTCACTGAAAGTGTCTTCACAGTACTCACAGTACTTCTTTCTGTGTCTCTTCTTCTCTCCACGATCTTCCTACAGGAAGTCACGACCATGTGACAGCCTGGAAATAGCATTAAAATGGCCGCGGCTCCTGTTCGTGAACCGAAGCGGAGTTCGTGAACCGGAGCATATTTTTATGAACTTTTCTGTTCGTGAACCGAGTTGTTCGTGAACAGAAGCATTCGTGAACCGAGGTATCACTGTAATATTAAAGCACATCACGCTGACCTTTCAACCACCCGGCCACTTTGACTTTGGCTCCCTGCCTTTTCACAGGGCCAAGCAAGTGAGCCCAGACTCCACCACGAGCGAATCGGCGAACGACTCGTCCGCTTGCTGCACGACCCCGGTGTTTCACGCGGCCCAGCGGGGCGGCCTGCAGGAGGCCACACCAGACGCGACGTCTCCCGCGACCCCCCCTGTGACGTCGCCAGCGATCGCCACACAGCTGCTGCTCGATTCGCCAGCGGGCCCGGCCAGCCAAACCGTGGCAGACGAGTCGCCGGGGACCCCACGGCCCGACCGGGTGTCGCACCGGCATCAGTTGGACGTCTTTTCCGAGCTCTACTCCGTGTGCCTGCGTCGTAACCTGGTGCCGAACGTGCTGCTGGAGGTTTACTTCACCTTGCAGCTGCTCACGGTGCCGTGCGGAACGGCAGGCGTCGCCAAAGAGGAGGCCCCTGTCGTCGTCGTCGACAACGACCGTCCAGAGCCAAGTGGCGGCAGTGATGGTCAGATTCGCTTTGACTCTTGTTTTAATTTTATTTAAAATCTACTTTGCAATGTCCTTCTCGGTTGTCTTATCCGTGTCATAAGGAGAGATGATGAACTGATTCAGATCTCCTGTTTTTCACATACCCTTCCTAAAATTGCAGTGCACAGAATTTTAATCGTGCGCGCTTTCTCGATTTCAGAACCTCTCAAAGCAGCCTACTTCCACAGCGTTCATAATTGCGTCTACTTCGCTGTCAAGGTCCTGGAAAAGCTCATGGGGTGAGTCTGTGGATTTAGGCATTCCGCAGTCAGCGCACATTTCAAGCGTCAATGATGCATTTCAAGTTTCTGGTCCAGCATCTGTCGGTGTTGTCAACATTTGCAAACGTGAGTCGAGGTACCAAGTCATCCAAACGTGCCGCCCGGAGGCGGGACCCTGCCGAAAGGGACACGCCCTCCCCAGCAGAGAGCTACTCGGTCCTACGGCCGTGCTGCCTCCTTGTGCGCCTGGCGCTGGCATTACCGTCAAATACCCCGCTGGGAACAAACACAACGTTGTAAAGCAATTACGTAATCAGCGCGAAATTAAAACATTTTGATAAATTTTGTTCACTTGCTTGGGCCTCGTCTCACGCTGAGAGTTGCCACCGCGTGCGGGTGGGGGTTGTGCGTTGTGCCCAGGCTGCTGGGGTGCCTGGACCGGAGCACGCTGCGCTCCCTTCTGGAGCACGAGCGCGTGGCCACCTTCTCCCCCTCCTTGCTGGAGCAACTGCGAGCGGCCTACGGCGTCAGCACAGCCCGGGTGAGACAACGCAGCCAAGCCAGCAACAGCGTCTGCATCCCCCCCCCCCCCGCCCGCAAACAGCCCGCGCGTGCACAGCCCGCGTACAGCGTCTTCAGTAAATTTTTTCCTTTACCAAATTATATTACAAAGTGATCCGTTTTCAGATACTTGCGGGGAAATTATTGTACCGATGGCATCACGTTGGGCGCGCTGCACCGACCGTGCGTTTGAAAGCAGCTGTGGAAGACGCCGTTACAGAACGAGCTCTGAAGCGCTCCATTAGGCCTTTTTGTTTTATCAACAATAGGGGGCACACCTTGCATATACCCTGCATAGAGTGCTCGTAGCATGGCAAACCGAAATTTTAAACTCTTTTCGACACGTTGACGTCACAGAACTAACGTCCATTAAATTGCCCATTATCCACACTGGGCGGTGATGATGGTGGTACAAGTTTTTACTTGCTGTAGAGGTGTTCATCGCCTGGTGATAACTTTCAATTGTCAGAGCTGCAGTTAGCCGTGAAAAGTAAACATCATGTGTTTTTGTACAGTCATTGGTGACCAGGAAGACCCCTCCCATCTTACTTCTTTTGAGAACCCGGTTTATTCGTGGGTGGCAGAAACTCAGATTTGAACACTGGATCTCAGCGGTGCTAGCCCATTGCTCTGACACAGCCATTATGCACCGCCTGGGCCACCTCCACAAAGTGTTGAGTTTCTAACGTTGTGTTTTGCTTTCTTTCTACAGGTCATCACCACTCCCACCTCCACCATTCTCTCGGTTCCCTTCCAACCCAAGACGGACAACCGAGCAAACTTCCCCAGCAATCGCTCCTTCCAAAACTTTAAAAAGCAGAGGTGCGGCTCCATGACCAACATCTCTTCCCTCTCGTTGCTCACGCACCTCTTCCTCCCCTGCCCCGACTCGTCCTCCTCCAGGAGGCATGAGCGGCGGGGCTGCGGCGTACTCGTGCCTCGCAGTAACAAGGGCCTGGGTTCGACTCCAGACTGTGTGGAGTTGGTATTTCCTGCCAGCGTCCTGCATGGGGTTTCCTCCAGGTCCTCCGGTTTGCCGAGTGGTCTCGTCTTCGTGCCGCCTATTCTGACGGACCCTGCTCGCTGCTCGGACGGCTCGGGCCTTCATCCTCGTCGCGAGCCGATCGCGAGTCCAGAAAATTCCGTGCGGAATTTTTTTCTTGTTATCATATTTTCGCAAAAGAGAATGCGCGACACCAGGGGACGGTCTTTCTAAAACACTGTGTTGGCCAAACCGGGGCGGTTCGCTAGCTCCGCTTTCCATCAAGACGCGTGTAGCGCCACCGTGTGACGTGCTCCTGTTCTGTGCGTTTTCCGTTTCTTTCGTAACCCGAAGGGACGTCTTCTACGCGCTGATCCGCGAGTGGGAGGACGGGCGCGACTCGCCGGGCTGGGAGTTCGAAAGAGTCCTGGGTAACAAAATCAGGTGCGGCAAATACTCCGCGTGGCCGCATTCCGCACGGCCCGCGGCCACTTGAGGCCGACCGCGTCGAAACATCCTGGAAACGACATTTACACGTCACTTGGCCCGCACTCAATCGGGCGCCAGAGGTGAATATTTTGGACTTGGCAACACGCTGTGATTCCAATTGCAGCACGCTCAGTCGCTTGTGTCGATGTGAGGGCCCTCTCGCCGTGACGGGAAGTGACCGAGCCGTGCGCGGGAAAGTGCTTCCCTCTCGTGTGTGCACCAGGGTCACTTCAAGGGATCTCCTAGATATTCACGGTGGAGAAGGCTACTAATCTGGGACTGGCTGGCGCGAGACGTTACTACGCAGTGCCAAGATGTAGCTAACACATCCGGCCATTGCTTTGCACGCTGTTCATCTAATGAGCTTCAGGAGTGTCAATTTAATTTCCTAAGAAAATTCCGACTTTCTTGGGGTCCCCCCTCAGTCCCTGTGATATGCGGGGAAACACGAATGAGTCTTGACAATCGCGTTCTGATGTATGTGGAACGTGCGAAGGGCAATGATGGTGCAGCTGTCATCGGAGCACAACCACAGTCATTTCGCTCGGCTCTTTCAAGCTCAGCTCATTCGAGTGAGTGACTCCTCACCACAGCTCACCGCACCTACCTCACCTCGCCTGGCCACAGCTCACCGTTCCTCACCACAGATCGCCGCACCTCACCGCACCCGGCCACAGCTCGTGACAGCTCACCGCCCCTTACCACAGCTGACCACACCTCGCTCCACTTCACCGCAGCTCACCACACCTGAGCACATAATCACCTCACTGCAACTCACCGCAGATTGTCAACATACGGTACATTTTCATTTAATGCTGTTCTTCCAAATTGTTATGGTTGATGTAGGAGAGGGGGGGCATGGGGGGGGGGGGGGGGTCGCGATTTAATTAAATATTTTTTTTAACAACACCTTCCCCGCCCCCCCCTCACCTCCCGAGTGTAGATGTGCAAGGACCCCTACGAGAGGGTGCCCAGCAGGAACGTGGCCTCCCCGCTGCTGAGCGCACTCGGAGGCAACGACCCCAGCAAGCTGCAGCGCCTGCAGCAGCGCTTCACCGCCCCGCAGGCCCAGGGCGGGCCCTGCCCGCCGCCCGCCTTCCCGGCGTACCAAGCGTTTTTCCGAGACTTCATCCTGGTGGCCGACAGGTGAGGGAGCGACGCGGCGTTGGCCTGCCCAGTGTCTTTTCCCGAATTGTACACGCGACCAAAAGTCTGTCCGTCCGTCCGTCCGGCGATGGGACGGCACAGGAAGTACAACGCAGCGATAACCGCCGAAGTCGTTAGCTCCGTCAAGAGTTCCTCTTGGACCGCGCGACGACCTCGGCGTCGCTCACGCGACTGTCCCCCAGGGCCGCGGCGTGGCCAGGGAATGGCGGGGGCGGCCAAGTGGATTTGTCAACTCGGTGTGCCACTCGCGTTCCGTCGAGTGCCAGCCGTGTGCGATGAGCCTTCTCCGCGTACTCTTTCTATTTTTCCCCTCCCAATTGCAACATGCTGATTTATAAGGAAGTAGCATAACTTTCCAAAGCAAGAGCCTCCTGAAAGAGCTTTGAGACTCGGCGAGGCTTCGTTGGATAAACGAATATTACCGTGCTGGTTAGTGCCTTGTTTAAAGCAGTTGAGATGAGGTAATCAATTGCCTCTTCCATGCTTTGAATCCGTTGCTCAGCTCGCCTAGACGTCTCGATGTTAATTGCCTGAGCCGCTGTTTGCCGATGATGCTGATGACGACGTTAAGCTTCTGTGTTGGCAGTTTTGCGCTGTGCCAGCACCTGATGGATGGCTTGAGGCATCAGATCATGGAGCTGAATGGAGAGTGCATCCTCGCTCCTGATGGGGACTGGGACACCTGTGAACAGGTGCTGCCCCCGGATGCTATCGATTTACACGTGTATGTCCGTGTGTGCGTCTGTGTGTACAACTTCACCACTGATGACGTGCCCTGAACGCTCGTGCTAAACGTGTACAAACATGCGGTCTGCAGCGTCGGTGAACCAAATAGCTTCCCTCCCACGGAGGGTGACCCTGAAGCCGATCGAAGGGCAGTTGAATTTCGCGATTGTTTAGAGAATTGGCTATTTGCTTTGATGTGGCCTGTGGTTTGGTGGTTCCCGTTTACAGCCCTGAAGCAGTGGTAGAAATTGCACATTGCTGGAGCAAGGTCTCTCCATAGCAAAACCACTGTTGACTTCCCCATAGTGGTATTCAATTTATCAACCCCGGAGGGATGATGGGCTGAGTCAACGCCCAACCAGGATTTTAAACTCGCGACCTTCCGATTGCCGGCCGCTCACTCTACCGCTAAGCCAGTGGTCGGAAACCAAAATAACAAGAAGAGGCATTTTTTTTGAATTTTGTAAAAAAATAAAACTCGGTGTTTCAAGAGCCGCAATGCACTGCGGGGAATAACATCACGACCCCTGCGCTAAGCAACCGGGCCGGTTTTCTTTTTAAATGACGAGGATCTAAACGCGTAGCGATCGAACGAAGAGGAACTGGATGCGTGCGCGGCGAGTGAAACCCAAACGGTGTTGCGCAGGAGTGGAGGGAGCACTTCAAGTCGGTGCTGCTCACGGCACGACTGCTCGCCAAGTTCCTGGGCCTCATCGCGTTCCTGCCATACCGGACGCACGAAACGACGCCCACGCACCCCCAGGAGCCCGCGCTGGATCTGCGCCTGCAGGTGTGGGCGGACGGCCTGCGTTCGTTTAGTCGCTAACCGTATCTTGGTCGGGGATCTCAGTCTGGTTCGGGGGTCGGCAGCCTTTCGAAGAAGAAGTGGAGCCACTTTTTTATCTTTGACCAAAATAATTGTAGAGCCGCGGCATCGCACGCAGAGACAGCAACTTGTACACAAACACAGCAGCGTGTACACAGCAGATGACGACGGCACACATTCTGACTTCAATAAATAAACAACGTAGGCGATGGAATATACTGAGTCTAATTAGTTTGTGTCCCCCCTTAGTTATTATTTAACAACGCAGTTTGACTGTTATACATTTTGTCTTCACCAAAACATTCCATAGTGACCCATTCCCTGCCATATTTAATCAATAATTTTGCATTAAATTACGTTTTAAGATTGAAAGTTAAATATTTTTTAAAGGCTGCTCACAAGGGGGCAGCCAAAGATCTGCAAGGGGGGCAGCCAAAGAGACACAGGGGGGGCAGCCAAAGAGCCACAGGGGGGGCAGCCAAAGAGCCCCTATATGCGGCTCCGGAGCCGCAGATTGCCGACCTCTGGTCTCGTCACTGTGTCCGTCTGTGAATTGAATTTGGTCGCTCGTTTAGTCCACTCTGCGTTGCGAGACGTCGTGTGACGGCCGTGCGTTTCCCCACCCACCTGTCAGCTCGGCCAATTGGGTCGACTGGGTTCATGTTTTTAATATGCACGGACAGTGTAGACAATCGCCGTGTTTGGTCTCCCTCGGTGCACTGCAGTCGCTAATGACGTTACTAAATTTGATCTTGGTCTGCATCTCTATTCAGATGAGTGGCGACGATCTTGAACAGTTCACAGCCCCCCCCCTTAGTATTCACTCTAAATTAGGACCTGGTGCGCTCACAACCATCAACACCAGTGCCGAACATCTGAACCAGTCCCCTGGCCTCCCTTAGGTCGACTCAGCTTAACTGAGTACCTGGAGCGGTGTGTAAACATCAACATTGGGGAGACAAAGGCGGTCGGGCGCGCTGCCGGTCACACCACCTCCTCACGTGCCGTAGACGCCTGACAATAGGAGCTCGCTCGCGGCGTTTGCCCCAACAGCCTGCGGGCATCACACGGGGCGGGGGGGGGGTGTTTGTCTCGTGTGCGCAGAGCGCCCAGGTGCTGGACGTCGACTCGGCGTTGGGAGAAGCGCGCGGGGCCCGGCGGCTCGTGCTGACGCTGCCGTGGATCATCGAGTTCCTCGGCATGACGGACCGCGGGGCGGCGCGAATGAAGTGCTACGCGCGAGTCTTTCGCTCCATGCTGCACATTTACAGGCACGTCGCCGCCGCCGCTGGCACGCAGCCGCCGCTCCGAAGGGTTTCCCAAAACCTGGGAGGCAAAAACCCGTGCGAAAAGCGCCTGACTAGGCCTCCCGGCTCTGCGGAAGGCTGATGCGCAAGCTCCCAGCAGAGCCGCTTAGCCCCGTGGTCTCATCGCGGCCCAGGGATGGACGTACACCGTTTTCTGCGTGCCAGGTGTCAGCACGACTGTTATTATGGGTAATTAAAAATTAAATTAATCTGAAGGCAAACGCATGTCAGAATGCGTCACAGAATCAATGCACAAGCGTGCCTTTTCTTCCTTGTCCGGTTTTAAATAGAGAGATATGATTGATAGCTTTGATTTATTTCAGCAGGAAAGACCCGAGAAGCTGTTCTGCTTTCTGTTTTCATGGGCACCCTGTGACGGTTTCAGATGTTATAGATTATAGAACTTAACAGTCGTGGCTACATAGGTTGCGATATAAACAGCAAGTAGCATCGGTACGTGCTTACGGTGATGGCGATCTAACAGTCGTTCCACAATACAGGTGTTTTGGGTTAGATCGTGTAAATATATAAATGTATCGTTAAACCCACCACCACCCGACAGCCAATTGGTAAGGGTTGTCACGTAAACAGAATGTGCCAATTCTTCACTAGTACAGCACTAACCGGTGTGTTGGAGAGCAAAGCCACAACATTTACAATCTGAGTATGACGTTTCGCCAGTAATTACAAGTGGCTTCTTCAGGCGACAGGCAGATTTGTAGCTTTCCTGTGGGTGAGAAGTCTGCAATGTAGTTGTCTCGCTCGAATGGGATGGCAATGCTGACGAGCGTTGTCGTCTTGGCTGCTTCTCTAGGTCTCTTGTGCTGGAGCCCAGCGAGGCCTGTGGCCTTAACCGCATGTTGCTGCTACTGCTGCTGGGATGGTTGTTCCAGGTACAAAGACTATAAACACCGTTAAGTATTTTTTATCACGGGACCTTTTGTTGACAGTAGCAAAGTATGAAAAATTTAAATAGGTTTTTACCCTTTTTGCCAATAAAACACTAGGTGTAAGATGTTCAAACACCAAATAGATCCCTTTTTGCAAGGAATCAAGTCCGCATTAACCACACGTACTTGTGGTGAACATGCAAACAAAAATACTCTGGTAATATCTGCATCGTTTTTTAAACTGATTGGCCTACACCAGATACAGTATTTGTAGCTCGGGGTCAGCTGATCTAGGTATCTATTTGGCGTCTGAACATCCTAACACCTGTTGTATTGCCAGAAAGGGTAAAACCTCTCTATATTACTATTATTTTACCAGGTAAGGCCCACTGAGCTATGTACCTCTTCTTCAGAAGCTTCCTGGCCACGAATGATAGCTCGACAGAGTGGCGGCTTAGCATCACGTGGACATTTCTAGCAGCTGCCCAGAAAACTCAAAACGCATGCCGATTCCAAATGTGGAAGGGAAAACCGGAGGACCTGGAAAAAAATTAACACGACCACAGCGAGAACATGCAAACTCCAAATATACAGCAGGTGTCAGAGGTGGGATCGAACCCACGACCTCCTGCATACGAGGCGAGGTAGTTAACATCTCGCCACCACGGCGCCCAGTCATTTGTGAGCGAGCTGGGACCATCAACTCTACTTGAGCCTGTTTTAATCATGGGCAGCCGCCTGCCAACCTCGGAGCCACTGGGCCCCCACCTCAATTAAAATTCGATTTTGATTTAAAGCTTTCGTAACTGCAGGGATTCATATTCCTGATTATTTCGGTAAAGTCACGTCGAAGGTAAACAATAAAATAATAAAAATATAAAACAATAAAATTCTCACGACGTTTCGATCGCAACACAAGCAATCATCATCAGGTGTGGTTTTCACAAATTAGATTCTTACACACCTGCGATACACGCATTGAATTATGTGTGTGATAATTGGGACACATGATTAATATATGTTCTACGTAATTATCCATAATATCGTTTTTTTGGGTTAGATCGCGTAAATTTAAATGTGTCGTTAAACCCGCCATCACCCGACACAGCCAATTAGTATGGTTTGTCACGTAAACAGAACATGCCAATTCGTTACTAGTACAGCACACCGGTGTGTTGGAGAGCAAATCCACAACATTTAACCAAACAAAACCTATATTATGGATATTGTTGCGAAAGCCTACGTGTTAAACTAAACGTAATTAGTTATCTGGACCCCCTGCAGGCACTAGAGGCGCTTACCATCCTCGTATCGTTTTAAAAAGAGAGAGAAAATCGTTTCTTGATCGCGACTCCGAATTGTGGCAAATCGAATGTCACAGGCTCACTCGCCAGTGTCGCTCTGCCTAACATGCACTTGCTCTACCAAGGTCCCATCGTTTCCTGAAGAAGTCTTCTTTGCCGAGTTGCCGCAGAGGGTGTTGGAAGACCCAAGCGGAGGAGGCCTGGTGGGTACCATGACACTGCGTCTACCACCATCCACAAGCTAGCAACTGTTACATCATGCAGTGCCTTCTTGATATACCGTGCACATTCAGGGGTGGGGTACCCTAGAAATACTTGCTTTTCCATCAGAACGCCGTTGTGTCTATCGGGTCTACAACGTTGCATGCGTCTCTGCCTCTCGCCTGTCCCAGGACACGCTGCCACTCGTTGACCAGCAGCTGCTCTTCACGTGCTGCCCCTACATTGGTAACGTCTCTTCCGCCAAACACAAGGCTTCAGCCACAGCTGCACGTACCTTGTCAAACAGCCACCACCACCACCACCACCCCTTTCTCGCAATCTCTGTATGTCGTCCGTACAGCAAAAACTTAATTATAATAAAACATCACATTGTTACATTTCCTCTAATCTGGATGGGGAGGGAATTAATCGTTACATGACAACTGGGTGACGAGTGGCTGGGTGGTGAGTGACGAGTTTAATGAGTGGCTGGGTGATGTGTGGCTGGGTGATGAGTGGGTGGGTGGTGAGTGGCTGGGTGATGAGTGGGTGGGTGAAGTGTGGCTGGCTGATGAGTGGCTGGGTGATGGGTGATGAGTTTAATGGGTGGCTGGGTGATGGGTGATGAGTGGCTGGGTGATGAGTGGCAGGGTGATGAGTGGCTGGGTGATGGGTGGCTGGGTGATGGGTGGCTGGGTGATGAGTGGCTGGGTGATGGGTGGCTGGGTGATGGGTGGCTGGGTGGCTGGGTGATGAGTGGCTGGGTGATGGGTGGCTGGGTGATGTGGGTGATGAGTGGCTGGGTAACGATGATGGCAACGAGGGTTTGTCCCGTTGCTGCAGGGGAACTGCGCAGGCTTCTGGCAACGTCACTCGGGGGTGGCACCGGGAGGAATGGCGGGTTCATCCGCAAGATTAACCCCACCGCCATGGAGCCGTCGGTCGGGCTTTCCCAGCGACAGACGCAGGTACGAGCGCAGCATTAGCGGCTGTGTTCGGCGAGGGGCCGGTCTGTGTCTGTGTGTGTGGGAACGCTCGGGTGCGGCAATGCAGCGGTTCGCGCGCCGTGCTACGAACCCGGCGGCCCGAGTTCGTTTTTCGCACTCCCAGCCAACGTCGGTGACGAATCTATGTGATCCGGGTATGGGGCCTCCCCTACTACCCTGGGCGGTGCGTCAAAAAAACTGCATTGGGGAGCCCGTGATAGTGGCCAACCACCCCCTCCGTATGCCGGAGGGGTGTTCGCTAAGAGCACCTGACATCAAAAGTCTCTTAAAGGCTACACGGCGGGGGGGGACCCTTTGTCTTTAAACACCGAACGAGCGAATGAGCGAGCGAGTGATTGCCCCCTTGCAGACGGAGCTGGAGCAGGCGTTTTTCCATAATCTCCCGGCTTCCCTGAAGCGCACGGTGGAGTTTGTGGCCGAGCGGACCTGCTCCAACTGCGTCAAGCACATCCGGTGAGAGGCGATTCGACAGAGCGACAGAAGTGAACCCCGAAGTAAAGTTGAACCCACGTGTGTTGAATTGTGCTTGTGCACGGTAGCGGTGCGGTTCGAGCACTGCGCTACGAACCCGGCGACCCGAGTTTGATTCCCGCTCAAGGACAACACCAGTGACAATAATTTGAACCGGTCTTGGGCCTCCCCTAGGTCGACTCAGCCTCAATTGAGTACCTGGTGCGATGTGTAAACATTGCCACTAGGGAGATAAAAGTGGCCGGGCGTGGTGCTGGCCAGCCACCCCCTCTAGTGCCGTTCCGGCCTTCATAGGTGCTACTCGCTAATAGCACTTACCCCAACAGTCCGTTAAGGCTACACGGGGGATGTTTCTGACCGAATGTGCGTGCGACCAAATCAGACGCCCGTAACCAAAGCACCCGGAGAGCACCCAATGTCATCGGATCTCGGGAGCTAAGCGGGGTTGAGCTTGCATAGTGGATAGACGGGCGACCACCGTGCACAGACAGCTTGCCATAGGCCACTGAAGGGATGTGCCAGCGGGATGCTGCTCCCCGTCTTCACCAAGCTGCGCTGACGAGCGTGGTGAAGTACGGTCAAATAACCCCCACGTCGCACGCGGCATGGACAGGCGTTACGTCCAGCAGTGGATTGATAAAAAAAATGGGGGATACATGTACGCGTATGTGTGTACTATGTTTGTTGTCTTTCCCCGCACCTCCGATTAGCACGGTTGGCTACGCACGGTGCGAAGGAAGCGCAACGTACATACATACTCGGGGTGCGTTCCTAATTTTGTCAAAATTCGATAGAAAGAGAGAGGGGAGAGAGCGATAGCGAGTGAGTGAGCGCGAGGCGTCACTCTGCGTGTGCGGCAGAGCGACGCTGCTCGCGGGCCTGGTGGAGGAGGGGGAGGCTCGCGTGTCGGCGCTGGCGGGCGGCGTCCCCGCCGACCTGACGCTGCAGGACGTGTGCACGCAGCTCTCCGGACAGGGCACCGCCGCGGCGCTCGACGCTGCGCAGCGGTGAGTGCACGGGGCGCTGCCGACACCGCCAATCGCCACCGCCGGGTGTCGCTCGTGGCCGCGTGCGTGTACATTTAAGTTCTTCTGTAGCCAAGCACGCTAATCGGAGGTGCGGGGGTAAGGATAACAAACTAAACACGAAGAGCAGTTCTCAAGAAATACAGTGCCAATATCCTATCTCTGTCTGTCGGTCTCTTTTTAATGCTCAAGTGTTCTGTAATATTGCGACACGACATCGCTGCTGGCGACCCCGAATCAAAAGCATTCAAGATCAAAAACATGGAATTAATTGTAAAAAAAGTTAATGCTACGAGGTTTTTGGTTGTTTAATCACGCAGGTGGCTGAAACCCGCGTTAGACCTCAGCCGGCAAATTGTCTTGTGTGACGTGGCCATTATGAGCCCCGTGAACCACGCGGCCACTTCAGCGCACGCGATACTTAGAACGGGTGTGGGGAACCTACAACCCCCGGCTTAATTTCTCACGGCCTGCGGTCACATGAGGCCTGCCACTTCGAAACGCCCCACAAAAGGACACTATCCATCACTGCGAGCATCTTGGCCGCACTTATCGGGTGCTAGGGGGCAGTATTTTTGGCCTCGCAAAACACCTTCCCGTCCCTGTGAAGGGTCCGCTAATATTCGGTCGACACTTGAGCACGATTTTCCCACACTGTCGTTGGATTACGCTAAGGTGCGTGCTCACGCTTCACAAGCACTTCGAATTTATGTTTTGGCACACGGGAACGAATTGATTCCCCACATCCAACTTAAAGGAAGATGCCAACGAAACAAGAAAGAGAAATGCCCATATGCATGGGTTCCAAGTTTTGGGCAAACCTTTGATTTGCTTGACTGGTCCGCAACTTGACGATGAAGTTTATTTAATATCGGGCCATCTTTGTGAAAGTGCCCTCCCGTTACCGTCAGTCAGACGGACGAACAAACGATGGAGCTAATGCATAAAACATTTCAGCCTTGGTCGGAGAGCATTAAAATTGCATAGCTCTTGTAGCTACATAGGTGCGCGTACCTGTCCGACCCACCCTGTCTTGTCGCCCTTACGCGACAGATTCTGCGCGACCAAGGCACCCCAGGTGATGCGGCTACTGCTGCCCGAAGAGCTGTCCCCCCAGGTGAGTTGAGAGGTCAGGAGCGAAAAGGTCACGCCCTGGCCGTCGGCGTGATTTGTTTCGCGAATGCCATTTCACGCGAATTCCCGCAGTCAAAAGACCAGATACATATACAAAATATATATAGATACAATAAATAAATGTTCCTTGAGTGGACGTCAGCCCACGTAGCCACTGTGCAACCTCCTCCTCCAGCACGTGCATGGCAATCAGTCCGCCCGGCACGCCCTGACGTGCTTCACAGCCGAAGACGATTGTGCCCCATTGGTCCTCCTGCTCCGCGTATTCACACGGTAGTGGGGCTGCCACCGAGCACGGACCCCATTGATGTTCGGAAGCAGCAACACGCACTGCCTGGTCACACCGGAAGCGGTTTGACTGCACCCGTTGGCGCCTTGGGAGGTCAAAGCCAGGCAACTGGACGGACGGATTGCTTATGAGCCGAAGTGATGAAATACCACATTGCGACAGCGGCAGGCGTCCACTCGCATCTGTAATCCAACGCCGTGCTGGCGCGGGTGGTGTGAGGGGGGCGGGGTGGATCATCGTGGGTATATCATGTGCACCAATCTCTCAGCCATCATGTCTATGAAGTGGCTAGTAGGAGGCAGTACGGCAAAGAAGTTGCTGGCCTATTTGTGCACACCTCTTGTTCTCATGATTAGCTCTCCATTATCCGTGGAGGGATGATCCAGGCCGCGGATTAACCGCGCCTGCGGATAAAATGTGTAAAAAATGTCGATGCAGGCAGCTGGTTTAGTCGTGAGCAGTTCCTCACTTGTCAAGGTTGTCAGTGACTGGGAGCTCACGTGACCGCAGCCTGAGAACGCGTCGGAGAGCAGCAGCAGCGGCTGCTGTTGTTGTTGTTGTTCTGCTTGCAGGTGGTGAGCACTGCTGCCGACATCGTTGTCCGACTGGCGCAGGAGAAAGCCGCCCAGTGGCTCAACAGCAACGTCGACAGTGAGTCACTCTCCTCCACAGTGAGCGCTTTGTTGAGCCGCGTAGCAATTAGCCACGAGCAGGGACAGTTACTTGATTGTGGAATAAACGATGAAAAAGTTATTCATTTTACTTTCATATGATGGTCTATTCCCTCGGGTAGAAATTTAAACCACGCAAGCAACATCGCCACCTACTGGCGGATGATGCTGGTCTGTTACTCATAGCCCCATCGTGATAGCCTTGCGCGTTAAGTATGGCACGAATATCAAACATTCACATTCCTGATCATCACTATTATTTGTACGCGTCATCATCATCATCATCAATGCCGCGGTGAGTCTTAGCGATTGCCTCGCGGGTGTCCCGTGTGGTCGCGCGGCTGGCAGAGCTCCTGAGCAAAGCATTGAGGAGCCGAGTGGACGGACCGCTCAAGTCCGCTTCGTGCAGCTTGACCAGCGAGCCGAGCCGCGATGGCTCCAGCGTCCGCGCGTGCCCGGCAGCCTGCAGCCACGCCAACCCCATGCCGTCGCTCGTCCTCACGCAGCTCAAGGCAAGCCGCCGCTCACTCTGATCCTCTTCTTGGTTCTTTCGGTAAAGTCACGTAGAAGGGAAGTAATAAAATAATAAAAATAAAACATAATAAAATTATTCTCACGACGTTTCGGCCACAACGCAAGCAGCCATCCTCAGGTAAAAACCAGGTCCGTCGAGGCGACAGAGTCTGAAGTCGGATCTGGTTTTCACCTGAGGACGGCTGCTTGCGTTGTGGCCGAAACGTCGTGAGAATAAGTTTATTATTTTTTTATTTTATTATTTTATTACTTCCCTTCTACGTGACTTTACCGAAAGAACCAAGAAGATGAATCCCTGCAGTCACGAAAGCTTTAAATCAAAATTTCACTCTGATCCTCTCCGATGCTTTGACCTCCACAGCTGGAGGGAATTGAGCCGCCTCGGTCCTGGCACGGCTTTGGTATCGGGTGCCTCCTTCCACTGTAATTCCCAGGCCCGTCGGGGTTGTGCCGAGTCAGCCCTTGCATGGTTTTGGAGGCTCCCAAGTTTTTCCCAAAGCAAAACGTCAAGCCGTACTGATGTCACACACAATGGATGAATCGAGATTCGTTTAGATGACACGATGTTGCTGTGCTGTCCTCGGTGTACTGTGTAATCTTTGCTATGATTCCTACGGATATTGTCATATTACCCGCTTCATTACTCAATGCATTCGTAACTCTTTCTGAACGCTTGCAGGACAAACAATGAATAGTAAGCTCACTGCTCTTCCAATGTGCAGTTGTGCAAGGATGCGTGACATCTGGAGATAAAACAATTTTGCGCACGAGTTACCCACGTCAGTCCATTTTCATCAAAAAAGTTTGCCAAACCTGTTCCGACATAGGTTACAGAAATTTTCGATCGTCCCTTTGCTTATTGAAACTGCCCTTGTCATTGAATGCGCGTGGCCGCGTGCGCGTTGGGAATCGCTCACGTGCGTGTGTGCACGCGCGCGTGGTTTGGGGGCGACGGGTTCGTCTTCTCGACAGGAGTTTCTGTGTGTGACGGTGGCCCCGAGCTGCGAGGACACCGCCGTCACCGAGGGAGCAGTCTTGGAGCTCGTGAGAAGCCTCCACGGATCTCTGCAGTGTAAAAAGGTACGCGGAGCAGTTCTGAGCGTGCAATTTCGTCTGGTCGCCTTAATTTTTAGCAGTAGGGCTTTCGCGACCAATATTATCCACAATAAGAGGCTTTTTTTTGGTTGGATCGCGTAAATGTGTCGCCTGATGAGGCTGGTTGTTGTTGTAAATTACCGGCGAAACGTCACGATACTCGAATTGTAAATGTTGTCGTGGGTTCACTCTCCAACACACACGCGGTGTGCTGAACGGGCAACTAATTGCCACGTTCTGTTTACGTGACAAACCTTACTCATTGGTCTGTGTCGCGTGGTCGCGGGTTTAACGACACATTTATATTCACGCGATGGAACACAAACAACTGTTTGACCGTGCTCTCTCCACGCTGGTCGGTGTGCCAAATCTCATCAGATCGGATGCTCAGCCGGGTTGAGCGACCACCTTGAACAAGAACAATTGTTGTCACTTGCCGGGCGCTACGCTGTCAGAAGCGGAGTCGGGGAGGTGGCAGGAGTGGGGGGGTGGGTGGCAGTGCAGCAACATCATAGTCGTTCTGTACTGTACTTCTATGCTCCCACACATCTCCTCACGTACGCCAAACCGCACTCGACCAACGCGACCAACGGGGGTCAAGTGACGCCTGCGACACGCGCGGTGTGGGCACGCCCCACGCCACCGGTGTATTTTACACGAGCGATGTGCGCACGTTGCCGAATGGAACTCTGTCTCACGACGTTGTGACGTTTTTGTGTTGCAGTATTTGTCACCACCGGTAGAGAAGGCGTTTGCTCAGTACGCGGTGGAACTTGCCGCTGCTATTGGTGAGTACATTATTACCCGTTGTTAGGAAGCCACTTTTATATCTAGATTGAAAACTCACTTCTTTAGGACTGCTTTTTGTGTTTAGTTTGTTGTCCTTCCCCCGCACCTCTGATTAGCGCGGTTGGCTACGTACAGTGCGAAAGAAGTTCAACATATATACATCCTGCATAGTGGTGTGCAAGTGCTATTGTCTTACATTTGAATTTAAAGATGCCATCTACTTGACTAGCTTGTCCATTGTTTGATAAGAAAAAAGACTTTTAATTTCGTTGTGGAGCTTTGAGTGTTATTCCCCCATACACATGGTGGTTTCTCTGGCCTACCACACGGAAGGAAAATGCCAACACTAGACAAAAATATCCTTTTGTTAATGTAGCCTGTTCCCTGATAACGCTCGAGTAGTAGCGTTCCTGAAGAACACCGCGTTATGGAAAAATCACGTAATAAATATCGGGGGTAAAGCACAGTCCGCGATAACACATGAGATGTGTACGCAGGTCGAACAAACACCGAGGCGCGTGGGTAGCATCTAGTAGCATCCAGCAGCATCCCACTGCCTCGTGCGATGCCGAGGCAGCCGTACGACCGCTGATTCCTACTCACGCGACGTAGTTCCGTTCGCTTGATCGCGTTATATCAATTCGCATCCGTTTAGTAAAATGTGTTTCCTAATACATTCATCGCGTTGTATCCAATTCGCGTTATGAAAACTGGCAGCGTAATCGAAAAGACTGTATTTGTGTTGTGTTTTTTATTTGGACTGTAACACTGAAATACAACGGGCCTGCTCTTGCGAATGTCAGGGGATCTTTAACGTCCACTGTGATGCAGTAGTTCCGTTCGCTTGATCGCGTTATATCCAATTTGCATCCGTTTAGTAAAATGTGTTTCCTAATACATTCATCGCGTTGTATCCAATTCGCGTTATGAAAACTGGCAGCGTAATCGAAAAGACTGTATTTGTGTTGTGTTTTTTATTTGGACCGTAACACTGAAATACAACGGGCCTGCTCTTGCGAATGTCAGGGGATCTTTAACGTCCACTGTGATGCAGACGCTACGTAGTATTAAACACCGCAGCAATAACCGGGGCGGCCTGCTGGATTCAAACCAGGAACCCACGACGAGCGGCGAACGCGCTACCGTTTGGCCGTGACGTTACCGCCTCAATCGGGTTTTGTTAAGAGAACGGGTATCCCAGTATTTCGCAAACACAACGGTAAATGTCAACGTGACTGCGCGAATTGTGTCCAGCCTTCGACAGAGTGCTGAGCGAGAGCCCCGCCGTGGACGTGGACTGCTGGGAGGAGAGCACGCGCAGGCTGCTGGGAGCTCTGCAGGGCGTCTGGACCGAGTTCTCAATGCAACCCCCGTTCCACCTCCTCCTGGCCAACAAAAATGTCTCTTACCTGCACTCGGCCACAGACAAGAAGGTTTGTTCACATCTGTACTTTCACAGCTATTTATGTCAAAACTTGGACACCGATAAATGTCGTGCTCGTTTATTATGAATGTTGTGGGTTTACGCTCCCAACACACCAGTGCGCTCAAGTAGTAACTAATTGGCATGTTTTATTTACGCTTACCACCATCCCCTCGAACGCCCCACCACTCACCACCCCACCGCTCACCACCACTCGCCACCCGACACGACAGCGCTGCTGCTGGGCACTGCTGCACTTGTCGCGGCAGCTGGTGGCGGGGAGGCTGCACGTTGGGAGCGCGCTGGTGGCGAGGTGGGACGCTTTGCTGGAAGACCTTCCTCCGGAGGTACCGACCAATGTGACGAGCGGGTGAACCCGCTGAGGTTGTATCGAGGGCTTGGAAACCGACGACATTTATTTATTTTGTATCACAGGTCAATATTAATATCTACAGGACAAAAAAGCCTTTTTAAACAGCTGGCTGGTGACGTCGCTTCCTCAAGTGTGTAAGTGGTGCGACTGCACCGGTTCCCACAGGCCTGGAGGAGAGGTCCTGCCCAGGCGCCGTGCTCCAAAGACGGGGGGAAATGAGGAACATGGACCCTAATTTAATTCCTCGTACCGGGGCCCATGCCGGCAATGCCACACCCCACTGCAGCTAAGCGCAGTGGTCTTGCTACGTGTAGAGGCTGTGTATCCCACGCTCTGCCACATGAGTCCGAAGCTTGGCGAATGAGCAAAAATAACGTTTAAAAGTTACGCTCAGGCAAGTCATTATTATTAGGCTGAAGTGACGCCACGGTCATGCCACTCGTACATTTCAATGTCTGTGAAGGCGTAGGTGGGGAACGTTTGGCCCACGACTTGATGTTATACTCCCCACAGCAATAATGCCTACCACTTCAAAATGCATACCTGTCAACCCATACAGTTTACCCGTGTTCTTGTACAGGGAAATTGAGTAAAACAATGTTTGTCTATTCGTTTGTGTTTCTCCCTTGTGATGGGACTTTGTAGGATGTATGTTGAGATTTATAAGGGCACGGGGTGACCAATAGGGTGTGAATTGGTCTGTGATAAGGTAGACACTGATAAGGTGTTGACAGGTATGAAAAATGTCCGCAAACTATATTCATTGCGACATCACTAATCATTGAGACCTCCTTTACCAGTGGCAAAATATAGTGATAGGTTTTTACCCTTTCAACTAGTACGCCTTTTGGCGTCATCTGGTCCAACACCAATGGAGACTAGGCCCTAAGAAAATCTGTCTTGGGTGTGGACCAATCAACTTCAAGGACAGTGCATATCATTATCATAGTTGTTTCTTTTCTTTTTGTTTGCATTTTGACTGCTTGTGTTGTGGTTATTGCAAACATGATGCCTTGTATAAAGGTGTCAGTTTTTGTACCAGTTGAAAGGGTAAAAACCTATCACTAATCACTTCAACGGCCTCACCGCAAAAGCCTCAACACGTACGTTATGGGATAACACCAAGGTGCGTATTCCGAGTGCGGCCCACCAAAGATATCTCTGCAAATCCTATTCGACCCGACTGAGGAAAAGGTTCCCCGTGTCCGCGTGAAAGTCTCGATGTTGTTGACCAAAATTCACATTGTAAGGTACAACAAAGACTTTTCAACCGGAAAGACTGCCAGCCCTCGTTTCTGAGTTTTGTTCTATTTTATTTCCTTTTCAGGGGGAAATAAGGGAATGTCTTTTGGAAACGGCCAACAAGTTTAAGGAGCTGTGCGAGGAGGAATCTGTTGCCAAAAGCCCCAGAGCCGTGGATGCTGCGTGCAATCCGGTGGAGCCCACACAGCAACAAGAAGAGGCCGCTTTGAGATGACGACTCTTCAGCAGTTTCATATGAACTTATCTAGTTTGTACACTGCACTTTAGGACCCTGGAATGTCGCCAATGACAATTTTCGGGACAGTTTTAAAATCACACAAATAAATAATGCTCGTCAGTTTAGCTTTTTTAAATTTTATTGCATACGCAAAATCTAACGAGAACCAAGTCTCCACACGCCGCATTTTTGTGGTAATGCCAATAGCAAGCAATTATTTTTCTCTGCTCGTGCGATTCAGCAAATGGTCGCCGATTACAAGAGGTTGTTCCAGTCTCGTTTTACTGTCAAATACACCAGCGTGGAAGGGTAGACCAAAAACCCTCGACGGGGGCTCACTTAGTAGCGGCGTGAGCAGAGCATACGCCCCGGGCCCTACCGTCACCATCTGTATTGCGCACATTAGTTCAGTTAACCCCAGCAACACTTTTAAATGTTTTTTTGCTCATACAATCGTAGCACACATGCATGACAACAGTTTTAAAGAGTCATTTTAACAATAATTTCAAGAAACCTCTTTAAGTGCTCTCTGTTGGTGGCCAATTTTGCATTTTTGACCTCTGTGCCTAAGCAACTTTGTTAACATCGAAAGAAATGCGCAACTTTTACTGCCAATCAAACTCAACAATGGAATGCCTTCATTGTTTATTACACGCGAGCTCAAGTGTTGATGCGAATGTTAATAAAGAACAGTTGATGCCTTTGACCAAACTGCCCCGAAATGCGCTGATCTCGTCAAATCTCAGATGCTGAGCAGAGTTATGCCTGCCTGCTGCTTGTGTGTGTATGTGTGTGCCACAAGCAGGCGCTGAAGGTTGCAGCAGGGCTAACGTTATGGGCAGAAAGCAATGCATAAAAATTCACTACTGCACTTGTTCCCACATTTATGGATGCCCCCCCCCCCCGCCTGCAATCCTCACTGACCGGTGTGGTGAAGTATGGTCAAATAACACCCACCACCCACACAGCGTGTGGGGAGGCCCTCGTCCAGCGGTGAATGAACACAAGGGCTGTAGTGTACATTTAAATAACTCCACAACCTTTCAGTGTAACTAACTAATTTGAAATTGATCGCTTGCGAATTTTTTTTAGTCTGCCACAGAACGGTCGTGTAGCCGAGTGCATTTTTTCTCTCCGTGTCGTCTCACCGCAAACAGAGCGCTGGGCAGATTAAACAGCGAGTTGGCACAATCGGGAGCAGTTACCAGCTGTGTTTTTTCCCACTGGAAAAAAACACACCTGAGCCCGTCCCGTTACCTGCAAGCGAGCATTCAAGCACTTGAAGTGGCCTCAAGTGCACCCAGCCTGGCACAAGCATTTGTGGTGACGCCGCGGAGGTGAACTATGACCGATGCTCATCACACCGCATCCACATTCCACGTGGGTACCCTCTCATCTTCTGGGATCATGCTCCAGTTGGGAGAGGGCACGTCTGCCAGCCAGTTGAAGTCGTTGATTCCGTTCCACGTCTGGCCGTGACCCTCCATCCTCGCATCTTTGAAGTGGCTGTCCAGGCCCGGGTAGCTCAGGTTGTAGGGCGCGAACCTCACTCGGACGCAGTCTTCGATGATGGCCTTGCTGGCCACGTCCACGTAGAAGTCTGTGTCCTCGGAGCGGTGGGCGCGGAACTGCCTGCAGGCCACCACCACCTTGCACCCTTTGCAGTCGTCCAGAAACACGGACGTGGCCACGGGCCCACACAGCACCACGCAGTCCCTGACGCCCGTGATATGCAGGGTGCTCGGGGAGCCCAGGAGCGCCACAGTGCAGCCGGACAGGTTCCCCAGGGCCCAGTCCGTGCCGGACAGCCGGTCGCCGCGCTCCGTCAGCTTCTGCCCGACCAGGTCGTGGAAGCCACACTGGACCAGGTCGAACTTGGTCGACCGCTTGTGTTGGCCATCCGTCGCCGGCGGCGCCTCCACCTTGTCGTCGGTCTCGTCCTTCTCCACCGCCGCCTCCTTCTTGCTTCGAGCTTTGAAGGCGAACTTCTTCTTGGGCGCCGCCTCATCCCGTTTGGCCCTGATCCTGGCCAAAAAGGAGTCGAGGCTGCCCTGCGCCTGACGTAGGCAGTACGCCGGCAGGTAGAGCGTGGCCTGGTTGACGAGGTCCTGCAAGGCCGAGGCGCGTCCTGCGGCCTCCTCCACGGCACCCCGCAGCAGCAGCGCCTCCAGGGCCGCCGTCTCGGTGCTGAAGGTCGCCCCGAAGCGGTCGGCCTGCTCCCCCGGCGCCAGGTCAACCTCGTCCTCCCGGCGACGGCGCTCAACCTCCGTCTTTCTCTCGGCGTCTCTGCGGGAGATGTTCTCGATGGCCGATGGTGGCGCTGGAGTGGCAGACATGGCCGACGATGATGGGAGAACAGCCAAGGCTGTGGGATGGAAAGGATTGAGAAGATTAATACAGTGGTTCTCAACCGGTAGGGTACGTAAGGTGATTTATAAATGTGTGAAATATCATACATGGGTCATTGGTGAATAATCACGTATGAATCTGCCAATATAACATAACTACGATACAATTTTAATCCATATGGGAACCTAGAACGCTATAAAAGACCCTTCTAAACTCATTAATCGTAAACAACGTGGTTTATAAGAATAAACAGCGAGCGCGAACAAATTATGTCATGCATACAAAGCGTCCGTTGAATGTTTTTTTTAATTCGCTTGCAATTACTAACGAGGTCGGATGATACCTCACAAAATGAACAATTGGTTAAATTATTTATGTTATTAATATATTTACTTCTTAGAACAATGTTGGGTCAGACAAGGGAGTATTCGGTTGAAACATTTCAACAAGGCGAAGCAAGGTTGAGAATTACCACTGGTGTCAAACACATTTATTGCACATTTGCAACTGTTACAGCTCGGGGTATGGTTTCTTGTACCTATTATTTCCTCAGTCAAAACAACATTTCATGATCAGACTAAGTATTTATACTGGAGGAATCCGATAAGCACTAAAGTTATTTTTCACAAATGTCCAGTAGGGGCGGGTAAGAACACGTTACAACAACAAATACATTCATAAACAAAAACCTCCGACGGCAGGTGATGGATGGATAAAGGTTAGAGGTGGAGGTGGTGATGGGGGAGGTGGCGGCGGGCGACACAGATGAACGTTAGAAACCGTTGAAGGTGTTGATGACAATGTCATCGCTGTCAACCCACACGGTTTACCCCGTATCCTTCTGGTACAGGGAATCTAGTGTTCAGGTCCATACGGGGTACAGCCGTTTCAATACGGGCAAACACCATTATAATTGTGTCTATTTGTTTGTGTTCTCCCTCGTAATTAAACTTTGTAGGATGAACGTTGAGATTTATAAACGGGCACGTGGTGACCAACAAGGTGTGAATTGGTCTGCAATGAGGGAGGAACTGACAAGGGGTTGACAGGTCCGTGATACTGGTAGTAACCTGGTTACACCAGCCCACAGGGGATTATTCTGTCCGTCCGTCCGTCCTGCATCCAAAAATGGGAGGGTTGGGGCTGGGTGGAGAGGGAGGGGCTGGGTGGAGAGGGAGGGGCTGGGTGGAGAGGGAGGGGCTGGGTGGGGGGTGGGGCTGGGTGGGGAGGGGCTGGGTGGGGGGTGGGGCTGGGTGGGGAGGGGCTGGGTGGGGGGTGGGGCTGGGTGGGGAGGTGCTGGTCACCCCGTGGTGCCCTTGTAAAACTGAACGTTTAACCTACTCACGCCGGCTTGTGCCCGCCCTCACAGTCGAGCATATTTGCGGAATACACCACGCCGCCGTTGACCCTGGCCATTGACCGAGCAACCCAACGTTCCTACCAGCTCCCTCCGCAGGAATGTGTTATTAAGTGGCTGAAGGATCTAGAATAGATAGGCCTGGGGTCGGCAGCCAATATAACAAGAGGGGGCTTTATCAGGTGAACACACATCTGGCTGCTGTCCGCCTGATGATGCCGGTTGTAATTAGTGGCGAAACGTCGTACTCCACTTGTAAACGCTGTGGATGTGTTCTCCAACACACAACCGGTTCGTGCTGTACTGGTGACGAATTGTCCACGTTCTGTTTACGTGACACCCTTTACTAGTTGGCTGTGTCGGGTGGTGGCGGGTTTAACGACACAACATTAATATTTTCGCGATCTCATCCAACAAAAAAAAAACCCCTGTATTATGGAGGGGGCATTATTGTCGAATTCGAAAAAAAATCCCACCCCATTAACGTATGTTGAAGAGCCGCAATGATGCCCCGTGGTGACTACGAGACGGTGGTTGGGGTCCTCGGCAAATAAAAACCCCTGCCGAGAGATGTGGAGGCAGAGGTCGCAAACGGGGTTTGATTCCTTACCCGTACCCGGCCGCACCAGGGTCGCAAACGGGTACCCGTACCCGGCACGGGTACCCGTACCCTACCCGAAATGAGTGACAGTTACTCACCAGTGACTCACGGCCTACCCGTATCCGTACCCGGTCGCACCAGGGTCGCAAACGGCTACCCGTACCCGGCCGGGTACGGGTAGCCGGGTATCGGGTAGGGTACGGGTATCGGGTACCCGGTTGCGACCTCTGTGTGGAGGTGATAGAGGGGGGAAATGACAGGAGGCCGACAGAGGTAGGGGGATGAGGAGGAGGAACTCAGCCCGGTGGGGTGGAGGGAATGGAGGCGACGCAGTCCGAGCAACTGAAGCGGCAGCCACGGCGAGGAGGAGGAGGCGAAGAGGGAGTTGGAGGAGGAGGCCCTGAGGAGACGAGGCAGATGAATGGCGACGGGGAGGGAGGGAGTAGAGCTCACGAGAGACGGCGCCTCTGACGGGAGGGAACGGATCGGCGGAGACGGGAGGCGGTGGGTGGAGCCCGGACGACGCCTCGAGGAGGAGGAGGACGAGGAGACGACGAAGGTGGTCGCTGCAAGGAGACGCGGAGACGAACCCCGGGGTCGGTCTGTCGGTCGCCGGCTTCTCGAAGGAGTTTGAAGGCGGAGACGGCGGGCGGGGCGGGGCGGGGCTGGCGGGAAGAGACCCGCGGGCGTGAGCGGAAGTGACGATTTGCGGC